GGGGGGGGGGGGGGGGGGGGGGGGCACGGGGGAACGGCTGTTGCTGTCGTGTACCGACAGCAAACAAGCAAAGCAGACCAACGCAAGGCAGGGAGCAGTCGCTTCCAGATGCCTGCACAGAGCAGCAGGCCTGTCGTGTGTAGTCGAGCGCTGCGACGAAGTGTTCTGCGCTGCCGTGCCATTTGGGTCTACTCTGCTGTTGTGCTGTACACAAGTGTTGCGAAGTGTCGTTGATCATGTCGTTCGTACACATACAGCAGTAGACCTTCAGGCACACTCGTATCCAGAGGCACACAGCACCAGTGAGCCAATACAATAGCAAGGATGCATTCGAGCGGGCGGTGTACCTATGCCGCACGCTACAATACACGCTACTCGGTGGAGACGTATTCGTCACTTCGAAGATTGTACGGCCGTTGTAGCACTTAAGCAATATTTACAAAAATAGAAAACAGCGGTATGGAAATGAGATGTCTATGCATACGGACCCCAACCAAACAGCAGGTGTCTGTCCCCTGTATATTGTACATACAACACGTGCACACACCCGAACATGAAACTTTCGGAACGTGCCAAGTGCACCACAGCGGCAAGCGTCTATGGCTGTACGGCCTATGAGAGGTTTTGTAACCACTATCCACATTCGATGCTAATGCATGCAACACCGGTTGCGTTCCAACCGCGGCCAAGATGATCCTCGCACTTGGCGCGGAAGTTAGTTTGTGTTACGTTCCACGGGCGCGGTCACTGAGGTCAGACCACCCCCGTGACAGTGCAGCATAAGAACCAACAGAAGGATAGATAGGATGTTGCTTCGAGTACATAAGTACTACAACACCCTGAGAGTTAAGTAGTTGTACGAGCGACTCACCGCCATCGGTACCGCAACGTAAGGATCACCGGTGCGTCGCTGCAGTCAGGAATAGTTTTGCTCTTTTTGCTCGAAATTACTGCTGCGTCGCCTTAGCGATGGATACCTAGAATCCTTTCGGGATGAGTATTTGGGTTTTTTTCATCAGGCATACGGCGTTGGTTTGCCTGCTTGCCTGCTGCTCTGCTTGTTCTACCCCTAGTCTACGACAGCAGTTGGCATGCCAGGCAGAGACTCCCACAGTTGACGTCAACCCCCATAGCCACAACCTCTTGAGACGACCACACACGCAGAAAACGACAGTGATCGTCCTCGTACATCATGATTTAGAACAGAACATTTTCTAGTCTGGCGATGCCCCCCCCCCTCCCCCCGGCCTCCCTGCCCATTGTTTTTCGTCATCCGTGCATGTGTAACGTTGAGCGGAAAGAAGAGCATTCAGTCGCGCCGCCGGTGTTCCAAAACACTATTGCTCCCATGTGCGGTGTCCCTTGTCTGTCCGCCTCCATCGGCTGTTTCTCGCCTTACTCTTGCCCCGACAACAACAACAACGACGACGACGGCAACGGCAACGATAACCTCAGACACCCCCAAGGTTTACGACGTGTCGAGCTACCTGAACGACCACCCGGGGGGCGCGGAGGTGATGATGGAGGTGGCCGGGCAGGACGCGACTAACATGTTCGAGGACATCGGGCACTCCTCGGACGCAAGAACGGAGATGAAGAAGTTCCAGATAGGGCTTCTCAAGGTGCGTCTGCTGCGCGTCCTGTGTACGTATGCTTGCATCGCCGTTTCGCTTCTTCGCTGCTGTGTCGCTATAGCGTCGACCGATGTCAACGCCAATTGTAAGACTCCAGTCTCGGCGGGGGGACATGAAATCCCGGAACCGCCTTCGATTTTGTCCTTTGCTCCTCTGCTGTCTCTCGCTTCTTGTTGCTTGCTGTGCTTTTTCTCGTTTTTGTGTTTTCCTTTGCCGTGCTTGGTTGACCAACAGTACTTATTCCTATGGACCACCTGTTGCCGATAGGTCAACCAATGCGCTAGTCAAATCGCAACCCATTCTCAAATCGCAACCCGTGAAGGGTGCGGCCGACGAGGAGCACAAGGACCAGCAGGAGGAGGAGGAAGGGACCGCCCTCATCCCTCACGAATTGCGATTTGAGAATGGGTTGCGATTTACGATGCCTTCCTCCTTCTTGTTCTCGTGGTTGTCCTTCTGCTCGTCGTCGGCTGCATCCTTCACGGATTGCGATTTGACTATTTAGCGCATGGATTGGCCTACCGGTAAAGGTTGTCCATGGGAATAAGCGCTGGTGTGCTACGAGGAGAAGACTCAATACTGTCAGGCAGCATTGCTGCTCCATCATCTCGTTCTCTCAGACGAACATCATTGTAGCATACAGACAATCTCATCTTCGTTTCGTCCCCGTTCCGATTCGAGGTGTGTGAGTGACGAGAGGAGTGCTTGAAAAATCGCAGCCAATGAACCAACACACGAGAATTATTCGTGCTTGCCAACAACCAAAAACAGGTATTTGGAGAACGAACAAATAAAGCACCCATTGATTATAGCCCAGGACCCTCTCAAATCGGTTTCTGTACCTTGCACCGCACGGAAGAAGAGATACTGAACGGCACTCACAGCGAATTGAAAATAACGGCAATAACAAAAACAGTTTGTCGTACATAAACGGACCAAACCCTCCTAATGCTTTTTGCTACTCGGGGGCGCTTTTCATTGCTGCTGCTGTACTGTATTGCTACTGCTGCACTGTATCGGGCAGCTGACAGACGAGGAGAGGGCTAAGATTGCGCAGGAGGCGGCGAAGAAGGCCGAGCGGGCGTCGCGACAAGGGGGAGGGCTCAACCCCCTCGCGGTGTTGGTTTTGCTTTTGGCCATCTCAATCGGTGAGAACGAGCGATGTGTCGGCCATTTTTACTTTGTGTGAGTTGTTTTTTGGTTTTCGGCCATCTCAGTCGTTTTTGCTGCGTGTCGTCGCTTGTGGCCATCTCAGTTGGTAGGAACGAGAAATTTGTTCGTGCTCGCGGCTATTTGGTTTTGCTTTCGGGCGACACTCTAGTAAACGCCGCGAGGGCAAGCCACTGTTCCGGAGTATCGAAGCCCCCGTGGCAAAAGAATGTTTTTTTTTGTTTCATTGGTGTCGGTTCTTGCTGCTCTTTTCAGGGTTTCGTGCCGTTCGCCCCGGTGTACTTTTGATGAAAGGCACACCCCTGTTTTCGAATCCCTGGCTCTGGAAACCCGGAACAAGGTCGATGAAACGTACTTCGACGGTGTCGTTGACGCTAAAGTGGATAGAAATAGTTGTACACATTTGCGCACATGTGTGCAGGTTGATGCTGTTGGCTGGTAAATATGGACCTCTTGAACCCATATCTCGTCTCCTTCCCGTCTCCCCTTCTCTCCTCCCGTTCTGTCTCCCAAACACTCAATACTCATGACGTGTGCGCGCGCGTGTGTGTCGGGTTCTCCGTGTGCACTCTCGCAGGGTATTACTACTCCAACCAAAAGGCGTGACCAGTGACGTCATGGCTTCCTTGCGCTCGGGTTATTTGTTTTCGCCGGTGGGGTAGTTGCTCCTCCCCGCCCCTGGTATCTAAACTTCCTAGATGTGTCTCTCTAGCGAGAGCTTGAGATCGTGGGAGCGAACTAGAGTTCTGGTTACGACGCCGCGAACGGCAGCTTGGTGATTGCCGGGCGCTGTGCTTGCTTTCACGCTTTTACATGGCGTTTCGACCGTTTGCTGAAGCCGAGACACGCTGAGGAGGGCGGGGCACACGGGTGCGAATGTTCCCATTACGATTGATTGGTCGAGCCTTTCCGGCGGCTCTCGCCAGGGGTGGGAAAAGGAGGCGGGCGGAACATCGCCCTGGAAGAGAATAGCGAGCCGGTGCATGGTAGGGTTTCGTGTTCACCGTTCTGTTTACTTCGTGTCATGAGCACGAGGGGCGGCCGCAGGAGAGCCTGGGGGGGAGGGGTAAGGGGGGGGCTGTGCACCACGTCCCCCCCCCTCTACTCTCAATCGCTGCTGCTCGTGGGGTGTGGGCGATGTTGCCCTCTGCGGTTGTTTGTGAAGGAGTTTGTTGTGTTTTGTTGGTAATTCAAGAAGGTCGTTTGGTTCCACGTCATTTTCAAGACCAACCGCTTCGCCTTCGGTCTCTCGAAAAGCGTGCTTCTTTTTGCCGGCACGTGCATCAGACAATCAGCACTGACTGACGTGATGACACACCTGGGTGCGCAAGGGCAAGGGACATGTTGCGAGCACGGGCAACTACATACAACTGCCATTTCTGTCTGTAGAACTTAACCATGGTCACCGGTACACTGGTACACCATGATCGGTACACTATTGCTGAACGACCGTCAAACTTTGATGCTCTGGTTGGGTCTAGAGACGGGCACGAAGGAAAGAAATACAAATAAGAATGGGAACTACTCTGGGCTCTCAACCCCCACCCTCCCCTCGCACACCCTGTGAAACCTCGAAACCGCTTCGTCTGAGACAACAGCGGACACAATCAACTACAGCACGATCAAGATCCGCTTGGCTGCGGCGTGCTGTGGGTTGCCTCTGGGGCGTCGCGTACCCCTTGCGGCCAACACAAGCGGACAACGTGCGTTCGAAACGAGCACGTTCAGATAGTTCCTACCTGCAGTTGTGACAGCAGCAGTTATTACAAATTGATTAGATTTGCACAACTCCGCGCGATGAGGGGTGGTGGGGCAGCCTCTCGCACCTCACGCTCCGCGACGCCCCTACTCTCGTCTACTCCGAGCACCCACACCAAGTCCAGGAAAGTTTTGGATTCCGTCGCGCTTAACAGTTATCATCCGACTACGAGCGGAATGGAGTCGAAAAGTTGCCACACTGCTGTGCCGTCGGTGTTGTGGTCCTGGTTAATGAGCAACTCCTTCCGCGCTACCGACCCATGCAAGTAACGATCAACACAGACAGGCCCGGTCGCTCCCCTTGACTTCTAGGAGACAACAAAGGCGGGCATTATTAGACTCCGGGAGGGGCTACCCCTTGCCTGCTGTTACAAACTAACCCAGAGAACGCCTGTGCACGGTAAACCGCACAATGGTGTACGGCCACCCCAAGATGGAGGCCTCGCGCCCTATTCACTGTCTTTCCTTCCGGCACTGGTGCCGCGGTCGCCGCCCCAGTGAGCATCACGCCCCGGTTGCCGTCGCTTTGCTGAGGGGTAGCAAGGCGGACCGGATCGACCTCGTTGGGGTTATTTTTACTGTTCCCAGCACGGGCATGTCCTTCTCCACCGCCACCGCCGCCGCTCTTGCTAGGAGACGCAACTCGGGCGTCCTTTACTCAGGCGACAGCCATCCATGAAAAAAGGGGTTGGGGGGGCAGGGGATGATATATTATTGGCATATCATAGGCATTTCGGGATCCATGTGATCATGGCGCGCAGCATCGCTTTTAAGATATGAAGCATTCTCGACCACAACAGCACCAGACCTACGCCACCCGGACCAAAACCTCAGCCCAAACATGATACTCCGTAAGACCCCAGTATCAGCTGAGGGGGCCGAGTTGAACAGACAAATCTACAAGGGCAAGGACACGGTTTTTTGGCGAGACTATCGACACGCCTCGTACACCGCACCACCAACGTCCCACGGTGTGCGCAGAAGAAGAAGGGTGCGCCCCCCCCGCCTACTTGCCTACCCCCAGCCCACCCTCTACCACACTAAACCGAAGTAAAAGCTTTCGCTCTTAACTTGACAGCCTGGCCAGCCCGGTCGTCGCCACGCTCCGGACAGCGATCGATGTCAACGACCCTCATGTCTTGTTTCCTTCTTCTTCTTGTTCTTCTTCGCTTTCTTTTTCTTGCCGGCCCTCCTGCCCTGGGTGTGCTCTTCCTCGTGTGCCCCTCCGCCGACCTCGCTGGGGAGCCGTGTTCGCTTGCTCCATCTACCCCCTTCCTCCGCCTCCTCTTATATTCCCTCGAAAGGAGGCCGCGTTTCCTCTCAAGCCTTGCTCTCGCTCGCACTCTCGCTCCCGTCCGCTACCACAGAGGACGACTCATGGCCGGCGTCTGCCGCATCACGACACCACTCAACATCGCCACCACCATCCGCATCATCCCCAGCAGTCGTCGACTCAATCCTAGCGGCGGCCGCGGCGGCAGCCTTCCTTCGCGCGGGGCGTGCAGGGACCGACGACGGTGTCAACGCCGCGGGCGCGCTCGCGACACCCACGCCGGGCGCGGGACTAGCGGCGGCGGCCACCTTCCGGCAAGGCGTAGGTGCCTTGGCCGCCGGAGGGGTGGTGAACTTCGTCTTAGACCTCCACGGGCGTTTCTCGGTCAGGTCCTTGTTGAGGTACTGCTTGGCGTGCGCTCGAACCTGCTCGTTGGTGCGCGTGCCCATGAGTCTCGCTACACTGACCCACGAGCGGCCGTAGATCCCGACTCCCTTTTGTTTTTTGTAGTCACAAGGAAGGAAGGCCCAGCAAGCAAAAAAAAAAAAGCACGTCAAGGAACGCGCCGGGGGTTACTTGGTCTGCTCTGCTCTCTCTCACCTCTTGCAAATCACAGAAGTGACTGCGCACGCATCCCGCCTTCTACCAGAGGCATATCGTTCTCGTACCGCTGCTTCACCGTGCGTTCATCCCTTTTCCGGCCAGGGTTCACAACGAAACTGCGTGTCCCCCGTGCTACTGGCGTCATACAGTACCTCGTCTCCCACGGCAGCTGACCTAAATAAACACAGTGGTCATTCACTTGCCGTCCATACACCGGTGTACGCACACCGGTGTACGCACTTCCTTCCACAAAATACGTCCCGCTCCCAAGGCTGCCTACACCGCTCCTCTTGCCTTCATGAAAGCCTCGTGTTCGTCGTCTCCCCAATCGCCACCATTTACGGCAGCACGTGGTTGTGCTGGAAGTGGTGCTCGATCCGTTGCCTGTGGCCCTGTGCGGCGGAAAAACGAAGAGAGTAAACACAAACAGACGTGCTCGGAAGTAGTGCGTACGGCGACAATCGGCGGCCTTGTCGGGGATCGAAAAAACAAGCGGAGGGCCTGGAGGAGAGCGAGATCGAGATCGTTATTCTCGAAGAGATTATCACAAAAAAAAAACGCATCCCAAGTGTGCGCTTCGTGCACGGGTTGAGCACAGAGTTGGGGGCATTTCGGTCCACTTGAGAAACCATCAAGACCCTGATTTTGCCCTGCCCAAGCCGATACGTGGTACACAACAGCACAAGAAACAGAGACGAGGAAGTGAGATGGGGGGGGGGGGGGGGGGGGGG